GGTGACACGTTGCCGATATCGTTCTAAGTGGGGAAATTGTGCTCTGGCCAACCTTGAAATGCCTTGTCACAGATGAATGTGATTCATCATCAATTTGCTTTTCAGTTTCTTAATAATAACTCTATTTAAGACAATAAAAACGTTGTGTGACACTTATCGGCAAATATAATGTAAGTATTTATTTTCATGTAGCAGTGCAACACAGAATGTCTTCCATTCACACAATTTTCTTTTGAAAACTTACGTACTTCGTTTTAGGAAGAGGATAGAAATGAGACGTAGATCTTCCGAGTATGTCTATGTTGGATCGGTTTTATGTGCCAGGTCGCATCAGGAAACCGGGAATAGGCTACACAGTGATCTAAAAGTCTGCCCTCTTCTGGCTGTTGACACTAACACTGATTTTAGATGCTTGGGATACAGAAACAAACCCAGGACCAAAGCAACCGAATACTCAGTCGAAAAGGATGGAAACCCTTTTATCAAAATTACTGGTGACTTAGTATGTGAAACACCCGAAGAGCAAGTAACATTAGCCGACCTCGCTAAAACGCCCAATGGTATCAATGACCAGAAACTCGAGTTGATAACATCGAGCTTCAACGATAAACCTTCGAAACTTACTGACAAGAACTTGAGTCTGAAATCTAAACTCCATCGCCATGTGAAGATGGACAACATCATATAACAATCTAAATGTATTTGGAATTCCTGACGGGAGTTGTCAATCATGAAATGAAACTGAGGAGGACCTCATACAGTTCACGAAAGGAGCACTGACACTTCACTCGTCTGAAAATATTTAAATATAGAGGGCACACAGATGAAATATGATAATATTATTGATTGGTCGATCTTCGCCTATGAAGAAGGCAAGGATGACAGTGTGAAAATCGGACAACATAAGAAGAGAACGACAGAGAATGGAAAAGCTGGTTCTGGATAGGAAAGTGACCATGGTTCCAATTACTTGAACACATCTCAAGTAGCTATAGACTCTACACAAAGTTCGTATCAAAGTGATGCAATGACTAGCCTATGTACAGTACATGCAATGTACATTGACTACCACCATCATTTGTTGCCTATGTTACTTTTTGTGTACAAATTAGTATATTTTGTTTGACCAAAACCTGGTGTCTTAACAATTATGTTATTAATACAATACAATATGTGCTATGTGTGCGTGACCAAAAGAGTCTGGAAAGTTGTCAGGGGGTAGCGTTAGAGAGCATTTAACTTTTATGGGGTTTGTCTACATACATCCAGAGAGATTCCCAATATACACCAACTCAGATGAAATTGGTATGAATATGCTAGAGCAGAAGCCATTACATTTTACTATGACTTTGGTGATTGGTACAAATGTATTTTGAGTAAAGACTTCAATGCTCGTATCAGAACTTTGGATGACTTCATTCTAGATGATAGTTCCAATTATCTCCCTTTACCTGAACAAAATACGCCTGATATTGTTAAACGCGATCGATCTACATGTGATAATATTAATGAACTGTTATGAATACTCACTGATTGTTTAACATGCATACTATCAATGGAAGAAACATATCTGGTATTCCAAGTAATTAAACCTTCGTGGCACACTCGGGTACACGTTTTGTGGACAAGTTTCTAGCGTCAAGTCAGATGTTTACCAACATAGTCTACTTTAAAGTATAGTCTCTCACAACATCGGACCACGTGCACATGCCTATTGTGTGTAGTTAGAAACATCAACAAGGAGTATAATAAGATTGAGCAGGCTTAAATGCCAGCTTGTGCGCCAAGATGCAAACCTTGTGATGCTGATATTACAAATTATCTTAAATAGCTAGAGGCAATGGAAATATTCATAGATTCCTTATAGTATCAAAGAGGATGTCAATTTGGCAATTAATGATATGGAATACATCCTGAATTGTGTAACTTCAGTCTTTTGATATCCTATATAAAACCACTTTCCAATATGATTGAAGACACCGCTCTATGTGAACAAGGGAGATATTTGTATGGATATGCAGCTATTAAGTTTCGTTTCGTTTCGGTGTATATATTAACATCGTTATCAAGCAAGTGATGTACAAAAACGTGAAGTAGGCAGGTTTCATATATGTGGATAATTAATTTTAATACAAGGTTGAATGACGATAGATTGACGTCTAAAACCTTCCTACGTCACATTTCTGTACATCACTTGCTATCATATCTGTGTTTTGGTTAGTCAAGAGCCTCATCTTCTAGATGGCATTTCTATTTCTCTCATATTTCATACTGGACGCGAGTGACACTATGTTGTCAGACATACGTGTTAGAAAAAACGTCTTAATTAATTAATGTCCTGGCTGTCGTTGTTCAAAACAACCTCAGCGCTACGACTGTCGTGAGTCTATGTTAAGGTATGGGAGTTGCGATCACCTTAGCACTTAGATCGCTTTGTGACAACGGCATGTATACGAGGGACGAGTGTCGATGTTAAGAGTTCTGTAATACTTTGAATTCTCACATGATATGTGCTACTTGATACTTGTGCAGAAGTATGGCCAAGCTTTGTTACAAGCTGCCTCTACATTGAAGTGAGCACTATGAAGGTACAGAATGTGTAAAGTTCAGCTTCTTTAATCATTTTCGCAATCGATATACAATCCTTGGATATGCGTGTACTTCATTGAAGAAAAAGCCGCTACATAACTTTGAGAGATCACTTGATAACAGTCAATTATTTTGGAAGCAAGTTAAATTCATACACATGTGTTGTACATATTAGCCCAAACATTTGGTACGTATATCTTCAAGATTTGTTTGAATGAAGTTGATGATGCTATGGATACAGCTTCACCTCATAATGAACTGACCTGTGAAGATTCCGGGGTAGAATAGATCTTCAGCAACCCACACTTGCCGTAAAAGGCGACTATGCTTCTCGTAAAAGGCGACTACCGCGATCGGGCGGTCAGGCCCGCTGACTTGGTTGATACATGTCATCGATCCCAATTGTGTGGATCGATGCTCATGATGTCAATCACGGGATTGTCTGGTCCATAGTCGAATATTTACAGACCGCCGTCATATAGCTGGAATATTGCTGAGTGCGGCGTTAAACAACAAACAAACAAACAAAATAAATCATAATGAACTGGATTCCGCAATTACAGAACATGAGATACTAAGTGGTATATTATCATCACAGAAGGGTAAATCATCAGGTTTAAATACTGGAAGTGTTCACATCAACATGTCAAATAAGTACTTCATTCGATAGGACTTGTTCAACAGGCCAGTTTCTACGTGTTTTGGAGTAAAAGTGTGATGGTAATTCAAGTTTTTGAATGGCAAAAGATATTATCGTGATAACTACAGGGACACAAGATTAACTAGTGTTTTCGGACAGAATCTGTCAACAGTAGCTAACTGTAGATTAAAATCTTCGTCCAAAAATAATAACAAAAAATGTAACAGACAAGCAGGTTTTTACGCCCGGACATACTTCAATTTATAACTTGTTCACGCTGACTGCTGATATACAAGAATATGTTAAGTAAACTGTACGTTCCCTACGTCTTTTTTCAAAAATGCATTTGATTTTGTAGACAGAAAACAACGTACGCATGTTCTCGAAAAATATAGTCTACCTATTAATTTTGATTATGATTCAGTCCATGTATTACGATATAACGGTGATAACAGTAGTTTTAATGGGTTGTTTGATTGGCCTGCTTCCTGGACTGAAGCAGGGTGTATTAAGCCAAATTTATTGTTACTTTTTATTAATGAGTTGGCTGCTGAAAGTCTTGATACATGTCAAAGAGAAGTATAATTTTTGAAAGATTTACCAAAAATGTTTCTATTAAGGTTTGCTGATGATGATATTTTTATTTCTGATAGAGTAGATTAGCTACAAGAGCAACGGAATATTTTCGATGATAATTGTTTAGCATGGAAACTAAATGTCAACCTGTCAAAAAACTAAAATATAAGTGAGATTGTTAAACAGTTTTGAGTGGTATCTTCATTATGATATTGTAGAAGAGCAAAAGTACCTTGGATTATTGATCATGACCCCCATCTTTAAATTTAACAAGAGCAGTGTCAAATTTGGCGTCAAATGGAAACGGTCACGTTTAAATGTTCTTAATGTGGCCCGGACATGGGGAAAATTCCTCTGATAATATACTTCAAAATATGTAATTAAAAAAATAAACCTATCATTCTGTGTGAATGCGAAAAAGTGGTCATCAAATATTACGTGTACAGGTAAAATTACTTGCGCTGTCTCGAACCTGTGACTCGGTCCCTTTGACTTTAAATTTTTATCTCGATGTTGGCATTTGTCACATCAACAGCTTCGAGAAACGCAAATAAGCAATTCACATAGCTGTTGTAAATTCTGCCATATGCAGGCTGTGGAATCCTGAAAAAGTAAAAAAGTAAAAAACAGAGATCTATTGTCTTCCTTGGTTTCGTCCAAGGAAGTCATTGGCATTAAGTGCAAACAAACATCTGTCCCTGACATTTTATTGTTTTTTTTACACATGGACTTTTGTCACAATTTGTATTGGTCATTTCCTGCGTAATTACTTCAATTCGTCTTGCAGGCACGTCATGTGTTCTTGATTAATGGTGTATGCAGTCGTATTGCCATGGATCTACAATACTGAGCCTGTTACTTGATCTGGCTTTCTGGCTGGCTGTCCATTTCTCGCTGTCTCGAAAGTCCGTATCCATCCTTAAAAAGCCCCCGAAAGCAATACATACTAAATAAATATTAATTCGACAATCAGTCCAACGATTAATTCGCCTTTTGGCAACTACAAATTGTCAAGAATTAAAATATGTTGGGCATCTTCTATTGAGCAGAACATTAACATACTTAAAAGAATCGTGAACATATCATACCTAATAATAAGCACTTCGTTTATGTCGGTCAATAGCCTTTTATACAATAAACATTTGAAATTGAATTTGAATATTCACCTGATCTGAGTTTGTTGTACATAATACAGGTACCAGCTGCCCAGGAGGAATGTTCGGAGACACATGTAGCTACTCATGCCACTGTACACCGCCCTGTAACCAGACAACTGGAGTCTGTAACGGTGCATGTGATCGTGGTTGGTTTGATGGGAATGGGCAAACTTGTCAGAGAGGTGAGTTTTCTTGCCACAAGTGTGTGTATGAGAGAGAGAGAGAGAGAGATAGAGAGAGACAGAGAGAGACACAGAGAGAGAGACAGACAGACAGACAGAGGCCTTCTACGATCTAACTTGCGTCTTATGTATATAAGTCCCCAGCGTCGATGGCATACCAATCTGAAAACACTGACAACAGCTCTCAATACAGCCACAGCTCTCAATACAATTTTCTATCTTTTTTCACGTTCAAGATATTCGACAGTGACTTTATGCTAGATATTCATAGTTGCACTGACTTATTATAGGTTTGATTTAAACATATTTTATTCAGATTGAAATGGATTGGGAACAAGTTATCCAACTTAGGACTCCCTCTCCATGGTATTTACAAAGCTTGTACAGTAAATCATATACAAGAAAAACAGAAAAGAAGATGAGTGTAAAGATAACAAGAAATGTACAAAAGAGAGAGACTAGTATATGTACATTAAAGTGTTACCCAAATCTCTTTGTATGACTTATAAACATTTGCACTGCTTTAAAGATGTGTTGATTTTCGATAATGGACAAACATTCATTTCCGTTTAACATCAAATTTAAATCTAATTTAGCATTTTTGTTCACGGCGTTCTGTAAAATGTCCCGAATTATTATTAACATAGTTTTTCTTTGGTGGACGTACAATGGACACTTTAATAAATAATGATATGCGTTTTCACATGGATCACCACATTGACATATTGGATCACATTTTACCTCTATTCTGTATAAATCATAATTTAACTGGCTTTTCATGTATCTTAATCAAGTATGATAAATATTCAACTTTCTAACACCATAGGAAAAATATGGAGGTGCAATGACTTGCTCTTTTTGTATGTATGTCTTGAATTGGGATGTAGATGTACAATTTCTACCTGCTGCAGGAATAGTGTTCCATAACCTTACAGTTGATGGAATAAAAGAACACGTTGAGTGTTTTAATCTAGTATATGGAATCCCAATATTGTCTGAATTTCTTAAATTATATGATATATTTGAACCTACAGTGGTTGGTACAATGTTTTTAAGGTAAGTTGGAGCAATATTACTTTGTATTTTGTAGAACAAACATAGCTTGCGTTTCCTTCTTCGTTCTATTAGCGTTTCCCATCCTGTTTCATAATACAGATGTGTGTGCGAAGTATACTTTGGGAGCCCAGTAACTACTCTGGCAGCTTCTAGTTGGAGATTTTCTAACTGAGTTGATAATTCTATATTACACCCATCCCACACTTCACACGCATATTCGAAATGGGGTCTTATGAAGATTGTATATACTTTATTTAGTGTATTTCTGTTAAATATGAAATTTAATTTTCTCATCGAATTTATCATTTTTGATGTTGACTTAATTATGTTATCTACGTGACAGGACCATTTTCCGTTTGATGCAAACGTTATACCCAAATGTTTATGATTTTGAACATTCTTAACTTTACATTCATCAAAGTACAAGGTAATGAGGTCTGATTCATCTTTAAAGGAAAATATAACCGCTTCTGTTTTATCTGGGTTGTATTTAATTAACCAGCGTTTTGCCCAGTTACACAGCTTGCTCAGATTTAAATTTAGAGTTGATTCAACAAGTTGATTGTCTGGTGAAGAAAAGCCGAGTGCTGTATCGTCAGCAAAGAGTCTTGTTATGCAATCTAATTCATCAGCAATGTCGTTAACAAACACAATGAATAAAAAGGGACCTAACACCGACCCCTGTGGAACGCCAGCCTTCAAAATCCTTGGCTTGGATAGAGCCCCGCTTACAAACACTGATTGAGTACGATTGCTTATGTAACTGGACAGCCATTCTAGTAAATTCCCTTTTATGCCATACATTTCTAATTTGTACATAAGCCCTCTATGCCAGACACGATCAAATGCTTTTGACACATCGCAAAAAACCATGCAATATTTTTCTCTATTATCTAAAGATAAACAGATTTGATTATACAATTCAATTAATTGCTGGACAGTGGAATGGCCTTTTTGAAAGCCCGACTGGTATTTATATAACAATTTATTGTCATGAAAGTAGTTATAAAGATGCTTAAATACAACTCTTTCAAATACTTTACCAATACAACTAATGAGTGATATTGGTCTGTAATTTGTCACAACTGAATGATCTCCTTTCTTATACAATGGCATGACATGCGCTCTTTTCCATTCTGTTGGATATGTATTTAAAGCCAATGAATGATTGAATAACATACATAAAACAATACTAATGCTGTTTACTGTTTTCTTTAATAGGTTGTTACTTATTCTGTCTGGACCAGATGCCTTGTTAATTTGAAGACATTTTATAACGTCAGATATTTCTTTTTCTGAGATAGTTAATTTGTCCAAAATACTCTTAGTGCGTTGATTGAAATATGGTAATTCTTCCCGTTCTTCTGTTAGGGTAGATATGGATTGGAAATATTCATTTAATCTCTCTGATTTTTCTAAATCTGAAAATATAGTGGGACAGTCATCGGTATCTTGTTTCCTTAACGGGGGGATGCTCGTAGATGTTCCAGAGTTTTTGACGACATATCTTAGTAATTTCCAATATGATTGTTTATTTACTATATATAGTTCCGAAAGAAATTCATCGATGTTAGAATAGAACTTTTCTTTCGCATAACTTTTCATGTTGTTGACTTTATTGCGTTGTTTTTTGTATGCTATAATATCTGTCTCCTTATTACTCCTTTTTGATTTCTTTCGTAACCTATTACGTATCCTACACTCCTTTCTTAAATGTGAATCAAACCATGGTTTGTCATTTGGTCGAATAGTGACAATTTTCGATGGAATACATTGTGTTACAAAATCATTCAATCTTTCATACAACACTTCACACATATCATCAACATTTGTACATTCATTAAATAATACAGACCAATTGGTAGTGTTTATGAGATCATTCAATTTAACCAAGTCTCCTTTGTTATAACATAAAACCTTGCGTTTATAAGCTATCTTGGTGCATATTTGTGTGTCCATTTCCATATAAGTACCTCTGTGATCAGATATTGTACTATCGAAGTCGATCACACCACTGACCTTAACATCAACATCTTCACTAATAATGATTGGATCTAAAAGTGTGCTAGTTTTAGAAGTGACTCTGGTGGGCTCATTAATTACATTCCTTAAATTTTTTCTGTGTAAAATTTCGTTTATGTAGTTTTTCCTGTTAGATAATAAATTTTCATTTAAATCACCGACAATCACCATTTAACTAGATATATCCAATGCAACTTCGATAGAAGTATCTAACCGACTCCAAAACTGTATAGAATTGTGTTCTGGTCTGTAAACAGCACAGAGTAATAAAGGCCCTTGAGGAAGAAATATTTTTATCCATATACTTTCATCAGTAATATTTTCTAGTTCGTGCATTCTCTTGTATGTTAAACACTTAGTGATGTATATCATAACCCCTCCCCCAAAAGCATTTCTATCTTTCCGTAATGGATTATGAAATGATTGCCACTGTAAAGTTTCATTACCTACAGATTCATCCAGATGTGTTTCAGTGAAACAAACTACATCATATTCAGACAAATATTCTGCAAGATACCTTTGCTTATTACGGACACTCCTGGTGTTTAAATGGAAGATCGACAATGAGTGGTCAAGATTAGTTACATCACCGGTCAGTGGGCCAGGATTAAGTTCAACGTCCCCTGCAAGCTGTATTAACAATAGGAGTACGAGAATTACATTTACATTGCCGAGATAAGCCTGCAGAACACAAAGGCACAATCGAGTGTTACAAGCTTTAACTTCTAGTGATAAAATATAATGCATTATGTCCAGCTCGTTCAAAAGAAACTTTGTGATGGAAGATTTGCAGATAAACAATTGACACAACGTGTTAGAAGACTTTACAACACAGTTGAACACCTTATACTTATTATAGGTCCTATTATTCATTGCTGCTGCCAGTTATTTGACCTATTGTGTTGCCTCTTGTGGATGTAAGCTTAATCATGTTTGTTTCAATATAATGTGGTAACTATTCAATGATCTTGTGTGGTTAATTACTGATGTCGCAATTTAGGTCTGCAAGAACCGATTTCTGGGTTAACCTTCGTGTTTCAACATAGCGAGTCACCTCGTAGCAACATCCTGTAAAAAATCGAAAATGTTTCAAAGCCTTGCATCCCATTTTTTCATCCCCATCTGTAGTTTGTATATTAAACCTAGTAAACTAGTCTACCACTAGTTATATCTATTTTAAAGCTACGCGGATGCTGACACCATAACGCGACTGGTCACATGATGTTTGAAATGGTTTGAAATTAGATCTTTGATATTATAACAGAAGTGTGTGTCCTTTGGGATATATCTTTCAAACATTCACAATTTCCGCATGTCTGTAACAGTAATCCCTAATTAATTGTGCAGATATCACTTATCTGTTGGATCTACCAAGCTCAATTACCTAGGATTTAAGTAGTAACTTTTCCCTCATACAAATTGCAATGATAAGTTAATTTATCTTCGTACTTGTTGTTACAAGAGAACGTTGCCTTCCACAAGACAACATCTTAGCCCCCAACTGACTATGAACGAGGTAAAGGCTTGACTGCAGACAAAGTTGTGGATGGGAACCGGGACCAGAATCTGCTCCACAACTCCTGTTTTCACTCTCATTCTTCGGTACCTAATCCTACGTGGACAGTGGATCTGGGACAGCCGTACAGGATACAAGACGTCAGGATATACAACAGGGCAGGATGTATGTATTAGTTCAGGCAGCGTTGATTTTGCAGGATATTACAAAACATTTTAGTACATGCCGATCAGGAACAACGTGTTTCTGTCACATTTCAACTAAATGTGGTCACATGGTGTTATTTGACGTTCACACGTTCCAGCAACAAGATGATAGGTGAACTGAATCATATCAAGTGCCATGTGATTAGCTATTTGTTATTGTTCAAGAGCACATTGCATCCTGCGTCAGTAAATCAATTCTT